GTAAGAGACCTCGCTATACCACAGAGGATCCAGAACCAGGAGCTTCTCAGACCTTCACAGCAGGTCTTCATATTAGTGGTATTCAAAGGTTTTGCGTGTAAAATTCCTGTTTCTCTCTCCTGCTACAGTAGGATCTGTCCCAAAATGCGAATGATGCTCAAAATATCATCTTTTCTTTTATTTCAAGATAAAAACGCACAGAGGCATGGTTCTGGTCCTATAGAGGCTGGTAGTGCCCTCGGCCCCGACTGGCATGATGGGATAGTTCTACGAGGAGCAGAGCAGGTGATATGTTGTGCCCGCCTTTGTGTCTGACAGCCTCTGTGCCAATCCTCAAGCACGGAGGTCAGCTGGATGTCTGGTTGTGTCGGTACTACCATCTGCATGCCTTGCGCTTCGGTTATGTTAAACCTTCCTCCTCTCCTCCTGCCCCATCTCTTTGTTTGCTGGTGTGTCTTCAGGTTTCCCGCAGAGTTTCATTGGAATACCAGTGTGAGGTGGAAAAGATCTTCACCTCTGCAGAGCTGCTCAATTCCCCTCAGCAAACACCCGAGAATGGTGAGAACTAGGCCAGCTGCTGGGGTTATACCTGTGACTCATCCTTTCCTCGCTCCTTTATCTACTTCCAACTTTTTACCCCTTGAGCTTTTCCTCTTCTCAGAAGGATCTTGGCCAATTTACATCAAGCTGACGAATGGCAAAACATTTGGCTGTGACTTTGTTGTGAGTGCCACCGGTGTCGTGCCAAACGTTGAGCCATTTCTCCATGACAACAATGTAAGTTAATTATGTGAAACGTAAATTATATTTGATTCAGGTTATGATATTAACGTATTTTATGTTGTTTCTTATATATCATATGGTCACATAGCTGAGCCGCACATTGAGTTGCAAATCAGGGCTAAATTTGTTCATTGACCATTGAGTCTCCCATTGTATCGATGACAGGGTCATAATTGTGAGGACAGGCCTATTCAAGGAGGACATTAGATCTCTTGTACTCTTGTCTATGCAGTTGGGTTTTTGTGAGTCTTTCACAAAAGGACAGATGAGCTTTTATCAATTCAATAGCCTCTTGTTGGGTTGAATTTCCTATGAAAGCCTTTTCTCCAAGATCAACTTTATGAAAATGAACGTGGATTTGACAGGAAAAAGTTGGAAAATGACTTTGTTTCTTTGTGAACATGTAGTATAAATGATGTATTGGTTAATGATGTTTTTTTGGGACTTTACCTCTTTAGTTTGCACTGGCAGACGACGGTGGTCTGCAGGTAGATGACCACATGATGACATCAGAGCCAGATGTGTATGCTGCAGGAGACGTGTGCACTGCATGCTGGGTACACAGCGCACTGTGGCAGCAGGTAAACTAAGGGACAAATCATTTCATGAAAACATTTGTTATTCCTCACACTCGCGTCTTCAGAGACCACAGTACACAGGATAAGGCCTATGTACATGTACTGTATGAATTCCTATACTGAGGAATTTATACACAAGCTGTACTTGAATTCATAGAAGTTTAAATTATATATTTTGCTGGGTAAACCCTGAAAATATACAATATTCATAACATAATGTAGAATATATATATTCTGTATATAATATTCTTATTTTGGCCATCTAAAAAGGCCAGTTTATCTTGAAACAGCTGATCAAGTACGTTTCAACAGGCTGTAGGACGAGTCCGTATGCTAACGTCTATGTGAGGACAGAGTTATTTGTTAAGGTCAGTGTGAGACAATCAGGGTCAGAGTGGGTGCAGAGTAAAACGTCCTGTGGTCACAATCTAGCATCTACCAAAAAAACCTGGAGGAAGTATACTTCCTCAATAGATTTAAATCTCATACTGTGTGTGTGTGTGTGTGTGTGTGCAGATGCGTTTGTGGACGCAGGCCCGTCAGATGGGCTGGTACGCCGGCCGCTGCATGGCGGCAAACGTCTTGTCTGAATCGATAGAACTGGACTTCTGCTTTGAACTCTTCTCACACATTACCAAATTTTTCAACTATAAGGTATTTTACTGCGACAGGGTGGTTGTTCAAATAATAACTCAAATGTTAATCATCCACTGTGTCAATTACAACCTGTTTACTTCCGAGGTCATTTCACGGCACCACTTTAGTGTCTCCACCTTTAGGCTCCGTCCCACTTTGCATTCAAACAACGTCCTCTATGCTGGCCATTCCACAGGTGGTCCTGCTGGGAAAGTTTAACGGGCAGGGGCTGGGACCTGACCACGAGCTGCTGTTACGCTGTACCAAAGGCCAGGAGTATGTCAAGGTGATACTGAGAGAGAAGGTCAACGCAGTCCTGCTCTTGTGTGTTACTGCATCCGGTGGTTTTTAACAACTCATTTACCTCGATATCGATTCACTTGCATTAAAAAGGGATTCACTTCTTGACACAAGTGAATGCCTGTTATGTAACCAGTATAAAAAATCTCATGCTGGGGACGCGGGTGCAGCGCATGCCAAATAACCACAACGTCCTTGTTTGGATTCCAGCTTTGAACATCTTACCCCGCCCCGTCTCTCTCTGTCTCTCACCTGGTTCTATACTCTCCTCTGTCAAATACATGTGAACACGTCCCACAAATAGTCTTCAAAGTCATAAGTTGCTGCAATGCTGTTAGACGTTCTCGCGGTGCCATCTGGAAAATGTCCCGTTTGCATTTTTTGTAGCCAAGTGAAGGAAACCATTGTTCTTCTGTTGTTTGATTTATTAGTGAGAAGTTGAACTGGATCAGCTGGTTATTTGTTGAACTTGCAAACAGAAGGCATCGGTGGATGTCGTTGTGTCATCAGTATCATTTCACACTCCACTGGAGAGATTATCGAGTGTAGCCCCCTCATCTCACGCGATTCACCTGTGTCTGTGTGTGTGTGTGTCCCAGGTTGTTCTCAGTGGGGGGAGGATGGTGGGAGCAGTGCTGATTGGTGAGACCGACCTGGAAGAGACCTTCGAGAACCTGATCCTAAACCAGATGGATCTGACCCCGTACGGAGAGGAGCTGCTTAACCCCAACATCGATATTGAGGACTACTTTGACTGAGCACGAGCGATTTGATTCAAATGAAAGAATATAGTTTTGGTTTTTAATAAATTATTTTCAAAGCCAAGTGTTCTTGACAGACACTTGTGTCGTATGTCTAGAAAAGCTTTCTTTAGTTAGCCGCATGAATGCAAATTCATCGCTTCATTAATTCATATGAGAAATACATGCGGGTAACAAACACTTGACCCTTTTACTCAGAATAATGGGATATGTTCAGCAGAGCGGTATTGCAAGATAATCCTCATGTTGCTATGTCGTCTCAGTTATTCTAGATCAAATTTCCAGCTAAATAGCAACTACGTCTCCTCCTGTGCCCCAACAGGCGTTACGACAATAGTCATCATCAGGCTCGCATAGTGCTACTATTGTTTCTTGGATATGTTGCCCTTGGAGATTTGGAAATCCCCTGATAATCCACTTTTAAAAAGGACATGAGACATTCGAAGTACCACGGTAAAAAGAATCTCCACAAGGAGATTCAGATTACTAAAAAAAGTGGAAAGGCCATTTGCACTTAAGGGTTGTTTGTAGGTTTGCGTTTCGTAATATGTGTCCCGCTCACGTTGATATAGCTGCGATCGTTGGTTCATTCAGGGTATTAAGGCACTCCCTATTCTCAGAGTTTCTGTATGACGCAGGATCGAGGGATATAGACTACTTTGTTTTGAGTGTACACCCTGACAAACAGAGCACGACTACGAACAACTGTACATTACAACACGGAATCTCAATCACGTGCCCTCTGATTTGCCGAATTCAGGGCGTCGTTCACACCGGATGAGTCCACACTGCCCACGGTGGCACTTGCATCTAGGTATAATTCAAATGAACGGCAGTGAAATGTGAGCAATATGATTCCTACTGTTTGAAACTGTTTGATAGCCAGAAGGCAAATATTGTATTCAGGTCCAATTTTCTGGCTGGTTCAGATGTGTTTTATTCACTGTGACGTGGAGATAGAAGTTTACAACACAGTTCTAGAGAACTCAGCTAAAGTCAGTACTAAAGGTGGTGGATGGGCTCAAATTCAAGTCTGTTTTACAGATCAAAGGGTGATTTGATACACTAAGGCGTGACGCCCCACAGAGGTTTGTTTACTTTGTTTACTCAAACAGGTTAACAACATGGTTACAGAGACAACGTACAGGATTTATAGATTAACACAAATTGGATAGAAAGTAGACTACATTTATATTTGAGAGGTACTGAGCCTTTGCTAGACTTCTTTTTAAACATCTGTCGGACATTTCATTTTTGAAGTCGCAATACGCTATATATATATTGTATTAAAGTGTTTATGACGTCCGTGGATAGTGTACATGAAGTCACAGATATAAACAGCAACATAAGGAAACCATATATACGGTTTGAATGAATAAGAATCGGGGGATTCGGGGGAATTACACAATCGAAACTGAAGTACAGACGTTTCCAGGCTGTCGTTGTTGATTTACACCTGACGTACCTGGGTTAGTGTTTTCATGTGACTTGAAAACCGGATTACTTTAAATTGAAGTGGGTTAACCCACTCTGTGACAGGTCTTCCGCTCTCTGACATTTAAACGATTTGACACAAAGCTCATTTCGTTCAAGTATGATGCGGATGTGACGTCAGAAGCATGGTGTGTTGCACATGTACGCTTGTATGTACCCACCCTGGAAGAATCAAGTTTTAAAATAAAATGTAGTCATAGCTTTCTTTTGTAACCAATATTGGGTTAAGTATAGGCTTGTAGCAAAACTTTTATATGTGCTATACACGTTTTATGTTATTATTCCATGGATGGTATTTAAATGAATTCGCATTTATGTGTTTAATGATGAAGCTCCGCCGGCGGTGAACGCTGAAGGTTTGAACAGGCACTCCTAGTGAGTCATTCAACAATCAGCTTGCATTGTGGGAGTTTTTCTCCGGTGGGTGGGATTTTTTGAGAGGCGTTTCCGCAGACCGACTACGTACCAACGCTATTCCGGGATTATATATCCGCCGCTCGTCACGTATTTTCATACATTGCGCATTTGGGCCCTGCGAGCAGCACAATATCACGACGGTTTAATATATTCCGACAAATAAAGATTTCGAATGGCCAACTACATTCACGTACCCGACGAGGCTCCCGCCGTGCCCAAAATAGACGTAACAGTTGACGAGAGCGACTACAGATCTGGTGCACTGAGGCTGATCAAGGAGCTGAGACCCAACTGGAAGCCATCCGAGGTCAAACTGAAGGTGCTTTTTTAATTTAATTTCAAACTATTTAGCTTTAGTCTGCTTGGTGTGACATGTCGCTCGTGTAAGGCGTCGTCTGTCGAAAAAGTGTTTTAGTCGCTCGAGCCAAGTGAAGAAGAACCCCGCAGATTAGCTGATACCGACGTTCATTTATGAGTGAACATTTTTTTATAACGTCGCTCCAAGCAGCTTTCACGGTGACACGCGAGCAGCTGTGAAATGCCAAGATGCCCACGTCGCCGTTGGGTTCTGACGGACGGTAACGTTAGACGACCGCGTCGTGATCCCGCCGCCGACGTTACCGAAATACTGCGGTCGTTTCTCCGCTGGCGGTTTGCCTTTGCGAATAGCGCCTGCGTCACTTCGGCTCGCGATCGGATTCAGGGAGTTTTCTCCCCGCTTGTGGCGCAGCCGGTTTAAAGCCCCCCCCCCCCTCTTTTTAGGGCACGAATCTGCCATCTCGCCCCAGTTTCTGGCGATCGTGAGATCTATCTGCAGGCTGGAGAGGCGTGACGCTGTATTGAGTCTACGCCATGTGTTGTTATCGCCGAGAAGAGGCACGCATGAGGAAAAAGCAGCAGGTCCTACCGACTAGCTTTTTCTTCATACCATTATTTGTAAGAGATTCGTCTTTCGCCTGCCATTAGAAGAGGGAACTGTGCTTTAACATTACGTGTCTTTTATTTTATTCAAGAGACATCAGCTCAACATTTAAACCTGCGCTGAAAAGGCGAGGTATTTGTATTTTTCCACTGACAGGCTGAGGGGGCGTGGCTCCTTTCTGGTAAACGCAGTGTGGATTGGAGCTGGTCACGTGCTCCTCCACACCTGCCTATATTCACCGATGAGAGCAAAGTGGCAACTCAGCAAATGCCTGCCATTGCTTCCTCACGCCACAACACAATTCCTGGACTGTTTTTCTCAGTCTACGCCTTTTTTTTTATTGAGTGGGCAATTAGGGCTGGCATGTTGACAGCAGCCCAGCTCTCCCCCTGCAAAAAATCCGCCCTGCCTAAGTCAACCCAGACGGGGCAGATTCTTTGAATGCCTCATTCATTGCTTTGCTCAGTCTTTTGTGTAGCCTACTAGATTCCTCCCGTATTGTTTGTTATACATACAACAATACAGGCTTTCGTAGTTCTCGTAAGGTATCACATTGAGGACGGTCCAACTGTCGTCTGACCGAAGGCGTCAAGCTAGATTTCATAAGCATAAGCCTTTTTGATTACCTGCCTAATTCCCCTGTTCTCCACTCTTTCCTCTTATTTGTCTGCAGTTTTTTACAGATGGGATAACTAACAAGCTGCTGGGTTGCTACGTGGGTGCAGTCATGCAAGATGTAGTCCTGGTCCGTATTTATGGCAACAAAACCGAGTTGTTGGTCGACCGGGAGAATGAAGTCAAAAGCTTTCGCGTGCTACATGCAAACCGCTGTGCCCCACACCTATACTGCACCTTCAACAATGGACTTTGCTATGAATTTCTGCAAGGAACTGCCTTGGAGCCAGAGCACATTCGCAGCAAACCTGTGTTCAGGTAAAACTGTATTCTCCATTTATGCAACAGTCTTGTCACCTGTTCTTACCACCCAGAAGGCTTGACTGACTGACTGACTGACTGACTGACTGACATCATGTTCTGACACGACCATGTCAACACGGCCCGACACAAAATGTATATGGCAGTAAATCACCATCAAAATTTGAGAGCGCAAATAAGGTTCATGCGCTCGCGTCAATTAAACATCCACAAGTGAAAGTCCGTCGCGCGCAAGATAGTCTTGCTCGCTTGACTTTTGCTCGCGGGTTAATCTTATTTGCGCTCTCAAATTTTGATGGGGATATACCGCCATAAATGTACAATTTAACAACATGGCAGGAGTTGGCTGTGTACCCAAACAACACTATTTTAAAAACTGATTTGTTTGTTTAATCTACATCTTTTTTTTATTAACATTTTAATACAGGCCTTTTTCATTGGTTTAAAAACATTTGAATCATTTATGTTTTTGTTTACAAAAAAATTGCCATAATACTAGTATTCACGTATTGCTCCTTGCTCTAATTCAAACTACTTTCTGTCTGACTTTGTAGTCTTATTGCCGGGCAGCTGGCCAAGTACCATGCCATCCATGCCCACAATGGCTGGGTGCCCCAGTCTGACATGTGGCTGAAGTTGGGCAAATACTTTGCTCTCATCCCCAAGTACTTCAAGGACCCAGAGCGGAACGCCAGGTGAGGCCATGTTTGAAGGTGATCCTGAGATGTGACTGATTACCTGTCAGACGTTTTACCTTTGGTCCTCTGATTCATTTTGTTTGCGCAGTCCTGGCTGAGATGCAAAAAGTGTTACAGCTCAACCAGAGAAGGCTCTCATCACCACATACATTTAAAGATGCCCAGAAAAACAATATGTTTCCATTGAGTTGAGCACTACTTCTTACGCTGGAAAAACGGGAAGGGGCAGATTTTATTTTTTATTGTCTTAAATGTGCATAAAACAACACCCAGAGTCTGTCCGAAACAAGCAGCGGCTTTTTATTATATGTAAATTACAATGGTGTCCCGGCCAACCACATACAAACACTGTTAATGGAACAAAGACTTACGGGGTTTATGTATGTTGAAAGCAAAAACAAATCACAATGATTGAAGTCAGCTCTCATTGTTGGTTTACTTACAGTTTGACCTGTCTCGGCCATATTTGGTGCAACAAAATGTTATAGTCTCGACAAATAATACGTTTTACATTTAAGGCTTCAGCTCCATCTGTCCTATTAACTGTTCTCCCTCCTTGACTCGGCCCCCACAGGTTGAGCACGGAGGTGCCAAGCTCACGGTGCCTCCGAGAAGAGCTGGTGTGGCTCCAGCAGAGCCTGTCTGTGCTGGGCTCCCCAGTTGTTCTCTGCCACAACGACCTTCTCTGCAAAAACATAATTTATAATGCGGAGGCAGGTGAGTATTAACTGGAGAAGTGTAGTCGTAGACATTACTGTGTGGCTGAATTGTGTTGTCGTGTGAACTGCATTGGTCTCTGCGCTCAGGTAGGATGGCATTAACTGCACTCCCTCAACGTCACATGCTTCCCTCATTGCCGGTGTTTGCAGTGGGCGGCAGGCAAGGAATTAGAACGTGCGGAAAAGACGAGCCTTTTTTTTGGGATACTCTGCTCTAGATGGGAATCCTTCTTTAAATAAGGACAAACGTAACACAAATTAACGCTGTGTTAACGTCAAATTCATTTTATCCAGATTGGAGGGCGGGGCAAGTTATGTTGGGCTGCCCCTAATAAATTTGACAAATGACAGTCTTAACCGGATTTATCTTTCCCATACCTGCTTTTTTTTTTTTTTTTTTTAAGTTAACGTTCATTCTAATTTGGTTATCCGTCTTTTCCTCAAATTGTCTGCTCCGTCATTCTAATTCTGTGCCTAAAAAAAACTTTGAACGTAAACCACTGTTATCAGCGTGAACAAACAATGCCATAACATCATACCACATACCAAGTCTCAGTTCTACTGTCAGCACATGTTTTTGGTGCTTTAGCAATGTTATTTTCATGGTATAAAGGTCAATCAATCAACTTTCATTATTCTGGTCAGTGAGACTGTAGTCATCAGTGAAACTGTTCTTATCATTGTCTTTTTGTTGCAGAGGAATTTTGGGTGAAGTGGTCAGGTCAAATGAGAGAAAGAGAGAGCGGGCGGGCGGGCGAAGGGGTGTATATATTTTTTTTATGTATGCGGGGGGGTTGGGGGTGATTGAGAGCTGTTAGCCCCCTCGTCGTCTTGCGGCGAGGGGCGGGGGCCCTTCTCACAGCTCCTTGTGTCTAGCCTTTCTCCCCTAGGAATGACAGCCGAGGCTGTGGCTGCCCTGCGCCACCCTGCCCTGGGGAGGCAATGGAGAGAGACAAACCTCCCGCACAGTCGGCTTTGAGGGCCCTCGCGTAGTCTGCCCACTGCTCGGGTTTATCGGGATGAGTTCATGGCAGCAGTAGGAGCCCTGTACCTACCTATTACCCTCCATTGCTACCCGCTCACCAGTTTTCCCTCTGACCGTAGTGAGGCTACTTACGATGCTGGTTATTATACACATGTTTTTATTTTATTTTTAATGGTTTGCACTTGCTTCAAGTCACTCTGAGCACCAGCCAAATGCCTAAGGTCTAAAGCTACTTTCCGTCACTCCCTGCTGCGCAATTTTCCATTCCATGGCATCGAAACTAATAACTGGGAAGACCATATACGTGGAAGGAGATGTATGGCAGTATTTTTTTATTTTGACTGTCAACAAATCCTATGGAAAAAAACCAACCAGCCTAGAAGTGACCTGTGCCACAGAACCCTATTCATAGCGTCTTGTTCCTGGCCAGGGAGCTCCATTGTTGTTCAGGATCTATTAAAAAATACAACAGTGAGCCTGTTTCACTGGGGGACATTTTGAAAACACACAATGTGGATTATTATGACTCAATACCACATAAACCATACTTAATAATGAATAAATTCACTGTTAACTCATCTTTGTTTTTGAAAATAAGTGTTTATCTTTTTTCAGTAAACTACTATGCCTTTCTGAGATGATAGTGTTCCATACCCCATTTCTTCTCCTCAGAAGGGATGAACCAGCTTGGAGCTAAGAGCCACAGGCTGGGGGAGTTGGAAGTTACTGAAAGGGAGACAAATGCATTGTTGGTTTTGGTCTTTTAAATGGGATTTGTTGACATAAACAATAATATGGTAATCATCTTCTTTATTCAATGAAGCTGAAACAGGACTCTGCAATGCCGAACAGTATCTGCTCATCTGTAGCTCACACAAGCAGATGTGCACACCTGCAGATTGTCATTGGAATCTGTGGCACTGCATGTCAAATAAATCCTTGCTTATCCGGGTTAGCTGAGATTGTCAGTATTGAAGTCCCCTCCAAGGAGTATTGGCCTGCTTTTATGTAGTCATGATAACAGTAAGTCAGTGAATAGTAGTGGTCAATTGCACAGCCTTTTAAAAGTGTGAAGTGCATGAAAATCCACGCATGTTTACCGACTTGCAGAATCCTGTTTCAGGCTTCAATAAGTATCCTCGTCTGTTTAAGTATAGTTAATTCCCCCAATACGTCCAGCTAAACATGACTAGAGCAAGCCTACAGATGTCAACCACAGTGCCGCCAGAGAATTGAGCAACAATTTATACACATTGTATCATGGGAAGTCGTTGTTGCGAGCTCAATCTACCAACCACTGCCTTTTATTGACTTGAAAAACCAAGTAGGCATGAAAAGAGACTGAGCAGCCATCACGCTGCTTCCTGTCACCTCACTGCAACAACTGCTGACTTGTAACCACTTGTCTGCCAAAAGCCCCCACTTCCTTTTCTCCGTTTGCCAAAGACAAAAGGCCCTAAACACGCGCTGATTACTCCTCCGTCAGTCCTTTTGTCTCTTCACTGTGTCCCTCAGTCTTCACCGTGGGCTGCTTTTTAGTTTCTCTCACTTTACTCCGCTCTTTGCAAAGAACAAGGAACCTGCGCACGTTTTCCCGGGTCACACGGGCCGCACAATCTGCAGCTCTGCAGCCAGCAGGAAGCCTGTCAGAGATTCTGTCATTTGCAGAGGTGTCACGCTATTGGGTTCACAGCGGACCAATGGGAAGGGCGCACCGGAGGGGAGTGTTGTGAAAAGGGGAAGTGAGGTTGCATGTCTGAGGGGGGGGGAAGCCAAAAAAAAGGAGTTTGGCTGCAGGGCTTGATGTTTTTCCGACACTGCGCGTGGGAGAGAGAATGGATAAGAGACAAATATGTCAGTGTGAGAGTGAGCATGTGTGGAAGATGTGTTTGCCCCAACCTTTTCATCTGCTGCACAGGGGGGGCTATAGCCACTGCCTGGAGGTGTTCAGTTGTGTCCCGCTAGGACCTACACGTCAGCTGGTAACCCACCTCAAAGTGACTTTCTATGTAGTCCAGCACCACCTCAAAAAAACCCTAATGTTCCATATGTTAAGCCAAGGAAATTAGCCAAAACAAACCAGCATGTCTAAGAGTGGACACATTTGATAGAACATATTGTTCCTGAAAGTAACATGTATTGGTGAATATCTATTTTCTGCAACAACCTGGGCTTGTAACAGTAAGGGTTTGTATTTTGAGATCCAACACCACCATTTTGAGATCAATGTTTCCTTTTTTTGTTTACTGGCCTACCAATGCAGTCAGCAACCCATCCTTTGATTCCCCCTCTCCTTACACAAGTAATCATTCAAGCCGGTAGCCTATTTTTAAATTTTTATTTACATTTCTTGACTTTGTACATGTTGAAGTCAATCCATTCATTTAACGCCCGTAACTATAAGATACGTTTTAGAAGCTCTTGAAGAAAATCCGGTTTCCCTACTAACACAACGCCGTGAGAGAGAATGTGTCAAACGTGTGTTGCTGTGCATCTGCTTCAGCAGCTCACTGTGCTTTTCTACAGAGCACTTAACCGCCTCTTTGTATTTTACTAATCTTCCTCCCTTTGTCCCCCACTCCTGCTCTCCTTGCCCATTTTCCTTCCTCCCCTCCATCAAAACTAAACTTTGACTTGGCCATTTTTCAATTATTCTGCATGTATCCAAAACCAACATCCTTTGAGAAGCCAGATGTACTCCTTTGTTTCCTTCTAGATTTTTGTATGTGTTCCATGTGTTTCATCACACATTTTCATCTTTGCTAATGTATCCCGGCTGCCTATTGTGCAGTCCTTTGGACAAAGTTATTTACTAATACATCCAGTTTACTAATATTTCATTGAAGATTGACTGCTCTACCTCCATGAGGATGTGTAAGCCATCTATTTGTTCTTGTTTGGTTTCCCTCATTTATAGTCCTTAAACCTTAAGCCCGAAGCTTTTACTTTCTATACCTTTTCAACTCTGACTTCCATTAACCTTAACATGATGTTTTTATTTATCCTACACAGCATGATAGTGCACGCGTAGATGTCAATAGTTATTTCAGGAAGAATATCGCTGAAGTCTAAATCCGTCGTAATTCCCATTATCACAAAATCTTTGCCCGAGTCTCCCTATACAGTGTACTTTCCTCAAAATGCAAGCTCTTACTCCTTGCCCTTCCATCGGCTCACTAGCCAACCACACCAGTCAGACAGGAAGAAAGTTAAAGAGTACAAAATGAAAAGCCTTGACATTCTGAGTTATCAAAGGGAAAACACATCATGCTCATTTAATAACCGCTTCCCGTGTCTCTCGTCTGAACAAATCTGCTTCTCTCTCCAGGCAATGTAAAGTTCATTGACTACGAGTATGCTGGGTACAATTACCAAGCCTACGACATTGGGAACCATTTCAATGAGTTTGCCGGTGAGTGTGTCTTGTCACTGCTGTGTGTGTGTGTGTGTGTGTAATAGTGAAATGGTCCCCGAGTGTTAAACCTGTGTCTTCATGTGTTCCAGGCCTGAATGAGGTGGATTATAGTCACTACCCTCAGAGGTCCTTTCAGCTGCAGTGGCTCCGCTCCTACCTGGAGGCCTATAAGGAGCACAAAGGCCAAGGCGACGAAGTGACCGATAGAGAGGTGGAGGTTCTTTATGTCCAGGTCAACCGATTTTCCCTGGTGAGCGTTTGCGTTACACTTGAATAGGAGTCCATCTGCATGTGGCTGTCTCCGGTGTCTCATAGGCAGATGGGATGTAAAAAGATTGCCCTTGCTTATTTTAGTTTATCTTGTCATCAGTTGCAGTTCTGGCTTATGGTCGCCCATTATGAGCTCTGTTTGCCCACACACTTTTGCGTGATGTGCCTTGAGGGAAGCTACGCGCTTTGTAAAGGGAAGGTTTTCAGAAGAAAGAACCAAAGTATCAGATTCATACGGTATTTTTCCAGCGGTTAAATAGTAAATTAATAAGCTTCACCTGGAATGATTCATTTGGCTGCGGGTTTGTTCTGAGTGGATGTTCCAGGCCTGTTGCCAGGTGCTGGCTCAGCAAACCGAGTCGTCCTGTGCTGTGGGTTAAGCGGCGTACAGGTCCGTGTGGGCCAGGAACTGCTCCGAATACAAGGGGTGGACATTTTTTAAGATGTGCACGTTGTGGGAGGAGCTCTTAATGACAGCTCGTCACCCCCCGAGGCTCAGCGCTCTCCGCCGAGCCGCACGCTTGTTTAATGTCAAGAGGGGAAAAAAGGGCAGTGTGGAGGTTGCGCATGCAAAAGACATGCAATTGTGTTTCCGTGTCAGCTCTTTGATTGTTGCCGCCATAGGGCTCCTGCACAGCGAGCAGTTTCTGCTTATCTGTAGCTCGCAGATGTGCACACCTGCAGATTGTCAATTGAATCTGTGGCACTGCATGTCCCATAAAGGCTTCTGCTGGCTTTGTGCATGCTTCAGTGTGTCCTGTTGGGTGATTTTATTTCATTGTAGACCGTGAGTACATGCTAATCTTCTGTGTCTGCCATGTTCTCTTTTTCCCCTCTGTGAAGGCGTCTCATTTCTTCTGGGGGCTCTGGGCTCTGATTCAGGCCAAAGTCTCCACCATCGACTTTGATTTCTTGGGGTATGTAGCCATCTTAAAATAAACTCTCGAGCACACTTTATCAACCGTTGTTTAACTCCCATTTCATTTGTTTTAGGCCTATTTTAAAAAAAAAGAAGAATCCAGATGTCTTTTGTGTCGTCTCAGTGCTCACTGTCTTAACAGACCGCACTGCTTTCCATGAAGCTGATGTGTTGAGGAGGTGTTTATCTTGACGTTGCATCTCCTCTCTGTGTCTCAGATATGCAGTCCTGCGCTTCAACCAGTACTTCAAGATGAAACTGGAGGTGGCCGCGCTGAACTTACCCGAATAACAAGCCCCCACCCCCACCACCCCCCTTCATCTTCTCTTCTTTTCTCTCTTCCTCCCTCCCAACCTTCTCTGAGGCTCACATGAAGAATGCGGAGAGCCGTCTAGGGGTGTACGCAGGGAAGTGCCAGATTCAGAGTCTGTCCTGCTCGGTGCCTACGGGTCTCCTCTGCATGTCCTTATCTTTTATTGATGAAAAGGGCCGCACGCTTTTCCTTCCTCTGACTAAACATCGTTGTTAACAGGTAGCCCTGGTCATTTGGAATGTGGGCGAGTGTGACGCAGAGACTCGAACCCTGCTGTAATGTGAAACCCACATGGGAGAATAGTTTTTTTTTTTTGGTTTCAATTATTCTAATATCTATTAGATATTAACATGATATCAGCGTATCGTATTTGTCAGCTGCTTTTCTTGGGTCTCAAATCGCCGGGAATAAGATGAAGGAGGAATGTCAGCTTATTCATAACCAACACGTAGTAACCGCCTGCAGGACTGACTGAAGTGGCCTAAACACTAATCTGCACTCCATGGGGTAAATACTCTCAACGGCCGGACCAGCTAATTACCAAATTTCTAACAATATCAAGGCAAAACAGAGCCAGCTATGTTTGTTGTAAAGAAGAAACAAAATAATGCCAACAGGGCGAGACCAGTGCTGTCCCATAGTCTGATGAGTTGAGCCGAATTACAAAAAGAATCCTCGTGATCTGCCTTGTGACTCTTGTTTTCACCCTTAAAAACTGTGCACTCGTTGTTTTTGTCGCAGTGCGTCTCACTGTAATTTGAACATTCCGTGTTCATGATGCTCGATAGGAGACTCGGTTGTGGTTCCCATGGTCGGTTTGATCCGTTCACTGTGACGTGGTCTGTAAGACATGCTGCGCTAAACGAGACCAAACCATTTTTTCTTGTCTGCTCCGAGTCGAGTGACGTTTGAGAATCATCTTTTAATATTACAAAACAGTGCTGTTAAGTCCTAAAGGAAGTCGAGGCGGTTCGATGCGTGATTTGACCTGGTCGACCTCCGGATCGCTGAGCCACTGTTTGCACTCGTCATGTTTAAGCGCCCAATGTTGAAGGTCTGTTAAAAAGAGGAGTTTTGTCATAAAGAAAGTGGAGTAGGTTGGTTACGCACATCTGTGTCTAGTTTAAAACAATGTAATGAATGTGAGGGGTTAGTGGGACCCAAGGAGCAAGAGCGCCACCTGTTGGAGGAAAGAAATAACGGTAGCTGCCAGTAAACTGTCTTGGTGTGTGTGTGTGTGTGTGTTTTTTTTTAAATGCGCTTTAGGAGGCCTTCGAAAAACCTCAACCTTTTGGTTACTTTAACAGGCCTACACCAAAGTGCTGACATCCGTTTTGTGCTTGTACATAGTGTGCATTGTTCCAATTTCCATGTAGCACAAGGAGAATTAGAGTTACAGTTGTATAGACTTTTTATACTTTATTATGTGATAAAGGCCGAGGTCTTCGAGAGTGTGTGGATGTTTGCTGATGGAACCCCAGATGGCCCCTGGACAAATATAGCATCATTTGAGAAACTATTCAGTAAACTGTGGGCAAACAGGTTTTCTCAATTACTCCAAAATGGTTTGCAACTCATGCATTTTTTTTTTCCCTGGCGCGCGCCGCTGTAAAAGGTTTGCAAAGCTCTGATTGTCCATGTGTGGTTTTCTTAGGCTCTGACAGTGTCTTTATTTTTGTCCATCCAGTTTTAAAGTTTGAAGGTTTAAAGCTTAATACGGTTTCATTTAGATTTGCTTGGTGGCAGACCTGATATGAATTGGAAAAGGATTCCGTAGGTGAAGATCTTCTATTGAAGCGAATTTCACGGGTTTTCGTAAGTTAGCAGACGACTTGTATTGGTTAAGGGTACATGAAAGATGGTTTTCTGGTGGGTGTCTGATTTTAACCCCACGATGTCAGAAAACATTTACACACATCAATTTGACTGCCACGTTATCAGAATTTTTACAATGTTAAAAATTGTACTGCTGAAATATTTCCTGATAGGGACCTCCACTACTATTTAACATTGTATAAAAAAAAGCTCATTAATTTCATTGGACACTTTAGCATTTGTTTATATGTACAGTAAGCACATGTAATAAAAACTTTGCTTGTTATGAAATGTGAATGAATGTACATAGGAGTTCTTTTATTTTCTAAAAGTTGGATTAAAGTGAAGTTGCCTGGGCTAAAAGGTGAAATAAAAAATACATTTTCAATACTGTAAACACACTTTAAAAAATAAAGTATATTTACCCGTATCTGTGTTTTTGATCCATCCTTCATTTACTAAAAGATTTGAAATCTGGCGAGGTTTTTTGGGGCTTACCTGACCTCTGTAATAAACCACTTCAGTAGCCATCATTGGAAACATTTAGAGAAGGGAGGCCACTTTAAATAAAACAACGTAGTAGGTGTTTGGACATCATAACTAAATTCTTTGGGAGGCAACATTGTTAATAAAGAACGGTTGAATGTGTGTCCTTTGAACAGAAAACTGCTTGTGTAGTAAGTAAAAAAACTAAAAGGTTAAAATAAAAATAAAGTCAAGTGTGTGAACAACTGTGTTTCTTATACGATGGAATAGTATGACATAGGTGTCCTTGGAGTGTCGTGGGGGACTGGAGTCAATCCCAGCTAACATGGGGCGAGAGGCGGGCTGCAACCTGGACTGACGGACAGTCAATCGCAGGTTTGACACAGAGACACACAAATGAAAAAGTCATTGGATATATAGCGTGTGAAAATAGTTGAATAAAGTCTTAAGACGTCACAAAAAGGACTTGAGTAGTTTGACATGTCCTCCAGCAGGGGTCTTTGTTCTGTTCAATTGTCACCTGAGCAACAGAAAAGTCTTTAATCTGGATTTGAAGGAGCTGAGCTGCAGATTTCTGGGACTTTTTTTGTTCCAGATATGTGGAGCAGAAAAACTGAACGCTGCCTGTTTAGTTCTGACTGGGGACAGAAAGCAGACCAGTCTCAGGTGACCTGAGGTTTTGCGGCGGTTCTTAAAGTATCAAGAAATGTACTTTGGCACTAAACCATTCAGTGCTTTATAAACCAACAGCAGTTAATTCTTTGTTGGACAGGAAGCCAGTGTAAAGACCTGAGGACTGGAGTTATGTGATCCACTTTCCTGGTCCTAGTGAGGCCTCAAGCTCAGCGTTCTGGATCAGCTGTAGCTTTGTAGACTTTTTACAGAGACACGTAAACACACCGTTACAGTAGACGAGTCTACTGAAGATAAATGCATAGACAAGTTCTTCCAAATCTGGTTGACGTAAATCAACTAATCCTTGATATATTCTTTCTAAGTATATTATTATAACCTATCGTATTTCAAAAGAGACTAAGTGAAATTTCTATATTGGTTTCTTTATAAACCTTCCCACTGCTAAGAATGAGCACCGTGGTTCAAAAGGATACGCCAGACAATTGTTAGTGATATAAAAGCAACAAAAAGACAGTTTTGATATTTGATGGCATCAGAGAAATTGCTGTGAAGTTGCTTACTTTCTTAACAAACCCTGGCATCTACAATCCCCACATCGCAATCACTAGTCCGAGAACTGTGAAAGCACGTGTGGGGAAGATATACAGTATGTAACTCTTGAGAATGTGTACTAGAGATGACCAAAAGATGGCAGCATATACCGCAGATAGAAAATTGCACATATAGAGGCCACTAAACCGGGAAGAAAGCTCACCACAGGCTACAACATTTGAATCCTTTTCAACATTTGTGATATTAATTCTTATTAACGCATTTTTATATTTAAAAAGCCATTTGTGAATATGTGCCAATTGTATCCAACCCCTTTATATATATAGAAAAAAATCATTACATTAAAATAGTCTTAAGTACATTGTACATATGTACATGACATTGAGCCCTGGACCGATTCACCTTTGTGGTGAACAGCGTGGATGCAATAGTAGTTTGTGTTAAGTAAATAAGGAGTCCATCAACATGCTTTAGCAGTGCACATGTTTACAGTTAAAGGGTTATATTAGACCCCCAGTCACGCCCCCCCCACACCCCCTCCCAAAAAAACAAACAAGTAATTTCTTCTATTCTCCAGAAGCAGATCAGCCCTGCCTTTCTTGTCCTTAATGTGAGCACTGCCTTACACAGTCCAACAATTACATCAGTGCATTATCCAACTCGCTGACTGTAATTCAATTAACTTCCTCCCCCCTGGCTTCATCCACACGGATAATACACACATTAATTAACAGTGGAATCCAATATCGGCTGTTCTCCGCCTCCACTTATTTTCATTTCCCATAAAAAGGTCATAGCTGCCGCTTCCAAGAGAAGACAATTGGTGTAAGTGTGTAGTAATGCATTACACTTGTATATCACCAGATCTCAGTGTGTTTGTGTTTGGGTATGTGTGCGCGCGTGTGTGTGTGTGTGTGTGACATGGGGAGTTGGGAAGTAAGCCTGTCGGTAGTGAGCGTCTGAGGACCCGGAGAAGTGCTGACAAAGCTGTGATGCACATCCATCACAGCTTTGTCATTTCCCCAAATTCATAACGCAAAATCCCGTTGGGAGTTGGATTTTAGCAAAAAAACATTTCAGGCAGGCAGAACAATCTCATTGGTCTCATTTTTCTGCAGGCAGAACAATCTCTTTGGCTGAATTAAACCTCAGAGGAGACCGTTTCCAACTTCTCTGGGTTTCAAAACATAATTACAGTGAAACCAGTAAACAGTGGCAAGGCACTGTTCCTTAGTTAGGAATGTAAAAATGATGATGATAATTTTGAAAATGTGTATAAACATGTGTACATAATCTGCAGTTATCAATACTGGTATTTGCCTTAGAAATCCTTTATTGGTCATACGTTCAAATACTAATACTAATAAGTAATAATAATAACTTTATTTATGTAGGTAGCATATTTAAAAAAAAGATGTTAAAACATGCTTTGAAAGGCAACACAATTGGTTATTTGGTAGATGTAATTGTAGCTTCACTGTAATAACTAAAGCCAAATGGCAAAATAAAAAATTCAACTTATGGATTGCCGTATCTGCTATTTTCTAAGATGAACAACTGACCTCAAAATTAATGAAAATTCTCCAGAATCCAAACATCAACTAATTATGAAATTGCAGTCAACTTGTTTCAAGTTTTCTATTCATGGAATGTTCGATTTCTTTTTCCTGCTTAACACTTAACTGATAGTTGAGCGTCACTGGTACATTTGTGGTTACGTTTTATTCATGTCGCCTTGATAATGCTGCATCGTACAGAAATAATGAAAAACTTAAAGATGATTAAACAGGGAGGGGACGGGGGCGGGGGGACGGGGGGGGGGGGTTCCCGGTCCGTGTGTGATCTCTAATTGGACCATTTTATATGAAAGCTGTGTTTCTCCTTACATGATGACACATCAGAAGACGAAGGTCAGGAACTCATGTAACCTACAGAAAATCTAAAACAGAACGACTGTTACAGGGGTGTGTGTTTTGGGGGATGAGGGTGGGATGAGGGTGGGAGGTGTGGGGGGGGGGGTCCAGGGCACAACGCTGCAACCTAATTACCAGAGGAGAGGGAAACAGTAATTAGCAGCAAGTCTCACCTCGTTAATCACAAAGGGCTCTTCCGCTCTATTTATATCTGATTAATGGCTTTCTTAAGCGCAGCAAGATATTAATGTTTCGTTTAATTGTGTGCCGCTTGCTGTCGTGGCTGGTTTGCAACCCACAAACAGACACATCTCTACATTCTACTGTACGGGCTGCTGCTTCCTGTTTAACAGTCAACGCCGTTAAAAGCCTGTTGATTGTCTTGTAACACTTTTTTTGGTTTGATTAGCTTGGCTCCTCTTTGCAGGAGGTCGGAACCTTGTTTGGAATATTTTGAACTTAACTGTACGTAAGTTGAAGATTAGTTGAAGATTAATGCATTTAGGAAAACTTGTAGTTTTCCTAAATGCAAAGAATAGAAAAGAAATCTGTGTCACCTGTAGTTGCAATTTCTTCTTTCTGCATTGGACTGAATATTTATGGTTCTGGCAGGACGGAGGAGTCTTTGAGGATGCTGGAAACGTCTTCAAAACAGTTAAGTTGTGAGAATTTACCTGCCAATTTCTCCACGTTTTGGCTTCATTTTTTTTGAGAAAACAGTGGCTGATTCTGTATCTTTGACTTCAAAATAGCTCCTTTTTTAATCAAAGTCTGCAGGAGCCTTTCTTCCAAGTCAATGAAGGGTTCCGTCAGCAAAATGGTGCAGATTGTGTATTGTTTGTGAGACACTTTATTCACGTATTTGACCCCTACAATGCTTCCTGCTGTGTCAATGGCATTCAATAAAACAATTTAGATTTCACGAGAAGACAGACTGGAACCACATCAAAATTAAAGTGAACGATCTTTGCTTGTAGCGATTCTGCGCCTGTTCGCTTTGTGATGACTGTTGATTGAAACACCGATAAGAATAATTGTAAAAGGCAAAGGAGACAAGGTGATGTGATAATTCAAGGCCTGGCACCACTACACCCGGTCACATTGTAAATCCCAACTCTAAGTCCTCCCCCATGTCCTAGCAAAGCAGCAGGCGTGCTCCCCCACTCTGACTATAAAACCATGAACCCATGGAGACTCCTGGCATCCTACAATGATCATATTTTCACCCCAAATACGCTGCTCGGTGTCTGTGGACGGAAGCAGAAAAGCTGTGACTAAGATGAGTTGAGCTGATGTCAACCACTGAGCCTTAAGGGAACCGTGACCTCTGGCGGCGGCGCCGAAGCCTCGGTAGTGTGTCGCACAGCATCGGCCCGTGGCCGGTTCCCACCTATAGTCCCGCCTCTCACCGCGACAGGTGCAGAAAGCTCGGAGAGACACCTACGTGGAAAAGTAAGAAACATCTGTTATTAGACGAGCTTCTGGTGCGAGCGTCTTTATTTCCTGCCATCTCCCCGACATTCCTGCACAGCTCTGCCAGGCTCCCTCGCTGGCTGTGATGGGGAGGAAGGGAGGGATGGGGGGGGGGGGGGGGGCCTAATGGGAAGAGATCAAAAAGCTAAACGAGGGGGTAAAGATACTGAAGCAGATTAGCAGCCCTCCCCACAATGGCGAAAGCTGCTCACAACCGCGCCGGGCCTAAAGGTAGCTGCCGTCTGCTGCCCATATTACAATAGGAGAGGGAGGATCAGCGCGCACACTGAAAAACATGTGTTATCGCCACAAAGGGATTGTCAGCTTCAAACGCCTTACATCCCTCTGCCATCCCTCTGGATCAAACAGG